AACAGCACAATATTGAAAGCAAACAATCACCACCACCCAATCCTGCCACTACCCAGACACCTGCGCCGCCCCCCCCTGCCCTTCACCCCCAGGCTGGGCGCCCACACACCTTGACAAACTCCTCAGTGCCCTTCTGGCGGAAGGTCCACTCCGTGAAGGTCTCAGCGGTGGTCTCGCTGCGGCGCTTGCAGGAGATGCACAGAATTTTGAAGGTGTTCCCGTACACAGCCTCCGTCTCCGAGTCCACCTCCACACAGCCCGCCCAGGCTGAGGACACTGCAGGGACAGCAGAGCTACCCATCACCCTAGGCCAAGCCAGGCTCACGGGCTGTTGGCCCTCGGGCCCCTCGGAAACCATCTGTTTCCCCTCAGTAATGATGACGCATGGACAGAACCGGACACTGAGCCTGGCCCCGCCACATGCCGCGTGCCCTTGGCAAGTCACCATGTTCTCGGAGCCTCAGTTTTCCTCTGTGAGTGGTGAGGGAAGCAATCATCGTGGCTTCTGGAGGTTGCTGAGCAGGTTCCATAGTTAGGTAAAGTCCCAGCAGGGGGCTGGCCCACAGAAGGGCCCCCCAGTCAATAGAAGAACTGTTACTGTGCTCAGTGACTTTGAGTATGTGCTACCCAAGTACCCCTTCTTCAAAAGGCCACTTGTTTAAGGTACTGCCGCCTCTCGATGGTGGGTCTAGAATGGCAGTCACTTCCACCACTATTGCCCTGCAAAACCAGCCAGCCCCGGAGAAGGCTGGGAAAAAGCAAGGCCTCCAAAGGGGAAGTGAGCATTGGTCCAGGGCAGACCCACACTCCATTCCTACTCCCCAGACCCACAAGTTCCTGTGTCATCCACCCCCTCCCCAACTTCTCCGGCCTCTGTCCTCAGACTCTCCCCTCCCACCCGCTTCTTCAAACTCATCAAGCTCTTTCCTGCCTCAGAGCCTTTGCACCTCCACTGGATTCCAGCCCTTTGGGTCCCTCCTCCACATTCCTACCTGCCACCTCCTTCCTGGCTCCCGGAGCTCACTAATGCTGTATCTTTCCAGCTCCAGCGCTGGGTCTTTTTCTTTGCCCCAGAGCCTCTTCCTTTATTAATCCAGGGGAGTTCTTGTCCTCCTCCCCTGCTCCTCTCCCTGAGGAACTCTGTCTCTGACTCCCCCTCTTTATCTCTCCTAGGGGTCTCTCTGAAGGTCCCCACCACGTTGTGTTCTCTCTCCAGGCTCGCTCTCCGGCGCGCGCTCTCTCCACCTTTCCCTGTCCCCCTTCAAACTCCATTCCTCTCCCCATCCCTCCCCGTACGGACAGTGTCTCCATCCCTTCCTGCCTCTCTTAATTTTCTCTCTCCGCAGCTCAGATGAATTCAACTCTCCTCTCCTCTCTCTCTCTCTCTCTCTCTCTCTGTCTCTCTCTCTCTCTCAAATTCTGCATCTCTCCCGTCTCTGCCCCTTATTTCCATCTCCCCATCCTCTCGTCGGAGCACTCTGTAGTACTTTGGGTTCTTGGGCGTCCCTCGCCCCTTCCCTCTCCTGTGACCATCTCTCTCAGCCTCTCCATCTCTCTCGTCTTGGTCTCTGGGCGCCGCCTCCTCCCCCTCCGCCAGCCCCCCTGCGGCTGTGGGTGTCACATTGCAGCCTGCGGGACTCCGGGAGCAGCTGACTTCGCGTTTCCTCGCCCCCGGCTGGGCGCCCGAAGCCGAGAAGCTGTGCCAGCCGGGCCCCCGCGGGCTCAGGCCCACCCGCACCTGCACCCCTCCTCCGAAGCCCCGCGCCCGGCGCGCACAACTTCTGAAGGGACTCGCCAGGCCGGCGGATGGGTGGAAGCGGCCCTCGCCCCACTCTCCGGGGTCCCGAGCGCGAGCCCGCCGCCTGGCGTGCACCGCGGCGTCCTTCGCGGCGCGCCCCCCGCTCACTTACCCAGCGCCGCGCCGACCACGAGAGCCAGCAGTGTCCCCATGGCTGCGCTGCGCGCGCTGCGCCCCTCTCCCGGGCCGCCGGTATTAATAGCCGGGCAAGAGGCGGCGGGACCCGGCGGCGGTTAGAATGTCCCCGGGAGCGCGCGGGCGCAGCAGCTGCGGCTCTGGGACCAGCGAGGGGGGAAGGGGGGGCGCGGCCCCCCCGCTCCGGTTACCGCCTGGGGCCCAGCCCCGGGGCCCGGCGTCCGGGCATCCCCGCCGCGCGAGTGGCGGCCGCGGCTCGGGCTGCTGCGCTGGCGCGCGCAGCCGGCGCATCCACCAGATGCCCGGACCCAGGCCCCCCGGACTCGGGCGCTCGGGCACGGGCCGCGCTTCCCTGCGCACTGCAGCGGCGGCGGCGGCCCGGGAGGGGGAGGGAGCGAGAGAGGGCGGGATGAATCACCGCGGGGGGAGGGCGCGGCCGCCCAGCCTTTGCCGCAGCGGCCCGGGAGGCGCCCGCTGCACCGGCCTCTCTGGGTGGCGCACGGACCACGGCTTCTGGGCCTAGAAACATGGTCTGGGTGTCCTGCTCCTCCAGACGCTGGGGACCCCCAGCATCGGGGTCTGGGAAAGGTCACCCCCAGAATCACAAGGGAGCTTAGAGGGCAGTTTGGGGGCAGGGCTTCAGAATTCAAATTGTGGAGATCATCCTCATGGGATCCAGAAGATTTTCCTGGGACCTCCAAGTGACCTGTCCCTCAGATCCCTGACATCAGGCCTGGAGGTCACTGTGGGAACCTAAGTGGGCACCGGGAGGTGTCAGGCTAGGGCTACCTATAATACTCCAGAGGCCTCCCAAACAGGGGGATACCCTAAATCCAAACTAGAGGCTGCCTTGGGGGGTAGGGGGGTATCTTTCAGGAGGATGCCCCCTCCTTTGTCTCTGACATCATCTTCTATTCCCTCCCCCACTCCGGCTCCTGAGCTGGCTGCCCAAGTGCCTGCTGTTCCCAACACACCAAGTTCATTTCCGCCTCAGGGCCTTTGCCCTTGCTCTTCCTTCTGCCTGGACCATTCTTCCTCCGACTAACCAAAGGGCTCACGGCAGCTCCTCCTGCAGCCCTTGGCTTCCATGTCACCTTCATCAGGTCTTCTGTCCATTCTGGGGAAACTGCCTTCCGGTCCCTTACTTGACCTCCTTTACTTGTGTCATGTTTTTCCCCATAGCAGTTGTCACCAGACGTTGTATTCTTCCTTCACATTGTTTCTCTGTTTATTGCCTGTCTCTCCAACCTTGGCATATATACTCCTCCACGGTGAGGACACCATCCTCTCCACCAGTGTCTCCAGCACCTTGAACTGTGCCTGGCACCTTGTAGGTGCTCAATAAGTATTTGTCAAGTGAATACATAAATACCAGTGCTAGAGCCCTTGTGGTATGCTGAGTCCATTTCCACCTCCCTAAACATGTGCAGCAAGTTCTAGTATCCCCATTTCAGAGAGGAAATAGGCTGAGTCACTCCCTCACTTAGGGTCATGCCTCAGGAAGGTCTGGAATCCTGCCCCGTGATGGCAGGTGGCCTGTCTCATCGGTGGGTTCTGCCAAATGGAGAGGATGGGGATGGGGCTCTGGGCTGTCAGACCCTGGTGGGGGTGAGACTTCTGATGGGGGGCGGGGGGTCACTGTTCAGGTCCTGGCCACCAGTTCTGGGTGGGGTGAGGTTCCAGAAACCCACTGGCTGAGCCCTACTGGACAAGAGGAATCAGGATGTGGGGCAGAGGGACGAGGCCAGGGACACCAGACACCTTTGTGGTCTGGGCCTCTGTGCCAGCACTTACTTCCTGGGTTGTGAAATTCCCCTACAGAAAATAACCTTCCTGCTGTTCTGACAGGGGTGCTAGGCAGAGGCACAATGAGGACAGGCCTTAGGCACTGGACAGGGGCACCTCCTGACAACAGTTCCCTGAGCACCTCCTATGGGCTTGGTGCTGCTCTGTGCACTTGACTAACATGAACTCATCTAATTCTTCCTGCAAGGTGAGTATAACCATTATGCCCCCTTTATAGGTATGGGAAACTGAGGCTCAGCGTGGGTAACGTGCCATGATCACATAGCTAAAGGATAGGAGAGCCTGGCTCTGCTCTTTGCTACCTGTGGCCCATCCTGCCTCTGCCCCGAGCCATCCATGACAGATTCTCACAGCTTCACTGTGACGTCACAGGGCTGCCTTTACCCCTCAGTTACTCCGGAACCAGCACAGCACAGGGTTTGAGTGGACAGATCTCAGTTTTTCCTGGACCAGAGACTCTGCCTCTAAGCCCATTTCCTCACCAGTCAGACGGGTCCGATAGCCTCCTGTGGATGGGCTTTGTGGGGTCCTGAAGGGGGAGGACCAGGCCTACAGTCCTTGCGTCCCTGCTGAAGGGCCTCAGGCATGTGACTATTTGTCTCCATCTCATAAACCAACGTGAGAATTAAATGAACAGCAGACCATGGCCCTTAGCCTGGTATGTACTTGGTGTTCACTACATGTGTTACTTTTCTTCCTTCAGTTTTTTCTGCGATGAATGTTACTGAATACCCTATTGTACATAGCCACACTTATTAACTCCTTGCGTCCTCATAAAGCGGTTCCCCATGTGACATCCCTGGACAAGCATCACCTGGGAACTAGCTGAAAGTCCAGGCTGTCGGCCCACCCCAGAACTGAATCCCACTGCCAGTGGGTCTGGAGATCTGCCCTCCGGGAGATTCTGACATAGCGGATTGAGAACCACTCACTTCTAACAAGCTGGGAGACTGGGGTATTCTTATGCCCACTGAACAGAAGAGCAAACTAAAGCTGAGGGAGGCTGACCAGCTCCAGGTCACATGCCTGCTTGTCTCAGGGGTAGCATTTGAACCCAGGCCACCAGGCAACAGTCTGTCCTAGGAGCACCCATTGTGGACCCTAATGATGCAAAGCTTATGTAAGATGCTAGTAAATTCTAGGTCATGTCAGTGACTGTGGCCCCAGAAAACAGACAGACCCCCTTCCCTGCCACGCGGGATCTGAGGGCGACAGGAGGCTCCCTCCCGTTCCCCAGCCCCACAGGCAAACCACAGCCATTTCCAACCCTTTATTGGGGCTCTGTCAGCCCAAATAAATATAATACATTAAACCCAGAGCTGAGGGAATCGTGCACCCCAGGAGGTGCCCCCAACAACCCCAGCGGGGCAAAATAAGTTAGCGGGGGGGCCTGCCAAAGGCCATGCCATCTCCCCGGCTGGGCAGGCGACGGCGACTGGACTCGCATACGCTGGTCTAAAGTGCATCTCAGTTCTGTGGTCCCGTGTCTGTATGGCCCCTGGCTGGGCCACTGGGATGGGTGGGCAGGAGGTTCCCGGTGGTCACACCGTGCCAGCAGTGGTCACCGAGGTTCTGTGTCCATCTGTCCATCTGAGGGGATGGCTGTGTGGCCTGGCGTCCTCAGGAGAAGCTGTCGTCGGGATGTGGCTGGGAGTCGAAGGAAGGGTCCGAGATGGTGATGCCTTGATGTAGCTTCTCCAGTGAGAACTTCATCTGGGGGAAGAGGTGAGCGCTGGGGGGGTGATGTCACCCCCTCATCCTGCAGCTGAGAAACTGAGGAAGGTCCAGAGAGGCCATGCCCCCTGCCGGGGTCACCGTGCTACACGAGTGGAGCCATACTGTACCCAGGTTAACTTCTTACAGGCAGCAGATGGGAGGGGCCCGGATGGCCTGGGTTCAGGTCCGGGCTCTGCTGCTTACTGAATGACCTTGGGCAAGCCCTCTCCCTGTCCCAGGTACCTCGGCTGAAGGATGAGTCAGTAACACACCCTCTTCACCAGGTTATTTCGGGATCTGAGGGGTGACCACCTAGGACCTGGCACACAGGAGGTACTCCATGCATGTCGTTCTTACTCCCTGCGGTGCGACCTGGGGCGAGTTTGATCACCTCATCCCTCAGCATCCCTCTCTTTTTTTTGGTTAATCCTCACCCTATGATATATATATATTTTTGGGGGGGTACGTGCCCCTAGCAGGAACTGAACCTGGGGCTCTCTGGTCCATAGGCCGATGCTCCAACCGCTGAGCCAAACTAGCCAGGGCCCAAGGATATTTTTTCATTGATTTTTTTTTTTTTTTTTTTTTGATAGAGTGGGAGGGAGGGAGGGAGAGAGAGAGGGAAACAACAACGTGAGAAACATCAATCAGCTGCTTCTGGCACGCCCCATACTGGGGACTGAGCCCATAACCTGGACATGTGCTCTGACTGGGAATCAAACTGGGACCTCTCAGTCCATGGGATGACGCTCAATCCACTGAGCCACACTGGTCCGGCAAGCATCCCTATCTTTTACATGGGGGGACCAGAGCATCCCCCTCATAGGCTGGCCATGAGAAGCAGTTGGTCATTTTGGCACTAGAACAGCCCAGCTTGATCAGTGTCTGCTGTTAGCATTCATGTGAGAAGTCAACTCTGTGCACATGGCAACTGGAGAGGAAAATAATGAGAACTTAACACAGGATGGGGAGGCCCCGCCCTCCCTCGCTTTGAGGGGTGGTGTCCTCGCTTCTAACCCTTCCACCCTGTCCTGCATGGCCCTTCCCAGACTGAGCGTCGTCTCAGCATGATTCCGGGGCAGTGAGGCCCTAAGGGAAGTCTCAGCATCATGCACCATAGTGACCAGACGATTTTCATGGTCACCCACCAGCTTAGGCTCTGACACCCTTGGGCGTCCAGCCAATGCCAGCTGCGGCTTCCCACACCCGCTCCCCACATCAGGCACTCACCCCAGGCACCTGGGATCTGTGCTGACCCCCACATTTCCTGAGCACCTGCTGTGTGCCGGGCACTGGGCCCCCACCACCAGCAGCACACACACACATACACACGTGTGTACCATGACCTTGGCACTAGTCCGACGTGAGCTCCTTTATCCTCTTAATAGTCTGAGGTGATGTCAGTCACTATTCCATTACAGAAAAGGAAGTCAAGGCCCCAAGTCACTTGCACAACAATGTCACACACAGGAATTTGAACGTGGTCCTCTGAATCGATGTGCCCCTGAGCTCCAGGGGGCGTATGGGACAATCCCTTCTAGAAGTGAGAGCCCAGTATCCTTTGGAGAACTTCTCTCCCACCCTTATGTGATCCCTTCGTCACCCCAAAGGGGATGGGACTCAGGGAACACCCTCGCCCACCCTGGCCTCTGACTGGTTCAGGGCCTGTGACCTCAGCAGCCCGTGACAGTGAGACTTTCCTTTGGGTGTCGGCCTAGAGCGGCAGGTCCACCTTGGTCATGCTGTGGGAGAGGATGCCCAAAGGCAAGCCAACCCTGGGGGCAGGCAGTCAGAATATGGCAGCAGAGACCAATGCTTAGGGCCCATGAGAGGCTGGATCCAGCCATGCCTGAAGTCAGCCACCCCTGGCCTGTTCTCCCCAGGATGAGAGCCAATAAATTCCTGCTTCCATTCTGGTTTTCCCGGCAACCCTGGAAGGTGGGGGGGGCTATCAATGGCTTCCTCGTTTTAGGGAGGAGGAAACAAGCCCGGAGGCCCCTGCCGCACCTCGGGTTTGAGTGCAGGGTCCCACAGCCCCGAGCCACACCTCGTCCAGGAGCTCCACCGAGGCCCGCAGGATCTGCCTCCACTTGTGCACCTCGACGCTGTGGAACTGCTTCTGCAGGGCCAGCACCTCCGCCCACTCCGCGGCCGTCTGGGGGAACTTGCTGTGGGGGGTGGGGCTGGAGTGAAGCCTTGGCCTCCCTCGCCTGCCCAAGCTCCCGACCCGCCAGGGCACCCACTCACTCCTTGGCCAGGGCCAGACTGTGCCAGGACTCGAAGGTGTGGGCCGTCCTCTCCAGGGACCAGAGGCGGTAAAAGAGGAGCACGTTGAGGGCGATGAGGACGATGAGGCTGGGGGCAGGGGCAGAGGTCAGGAGTCAGGCGCACACACACAATCACGACTTGAAGGGACAGCACAACTCCCCCCTCTTCAGAGGAGGAAGCTAAGGCTCAGAGAGGGGGAGAGACATGCCTAGGGTCACACAGTCCATAAGCAGCAAAGTCAGGGTTCAAACCCAGCCTGCCTGGCGCCCGCACCCCTAACTTCCATGCCAAATAATCGTACTGGGAGAGCCGAGGTCTCAGAACAGAAAGGGCTGCAGCCAGGGTGAGACATGAGGGGAGGGAAGTGCAGGACACAGGACCCTACCTCACACAGATCCTGAGGAGGCAGTGGGGAGACAAAGAGGTGAGAGCCGCCCAGCTCACCCTGCCGCCCAGCCCTCCCCGACCTCCGCCCAGCAGAGCAGGCCACACAGCCTCACCGGGCGCCGCCGCGGGGGACAGGCTGCCCAGAGGCCGGGTCTGGCCCACCTGACTCTCACCCCCAGGGTCCGCTGGGACCACGGATCTCACCTCCGTTTCCTGTGTCCTGCCCCCCACACCTCCAGACCTTTGTGCACGTGGGTCTCCCTGCCTAGCCCTCTGTGGCCTCAGCTCAGCAGGCCTCTGCTTTCCCAAGAAGCCTCCCCTAACAGCCCTCCTGTCCTGCCCACAGGAAGCCTTCACTGGCCTCCCAAGGCTTCTCTACCAGGCCCTGCCCTCTGCCTGCACCTCCCCATCCGGGCCCTGTCCCCTCTGCCTGCGCCTCCCCATCCGGGCCCTGTCCCCTCTGCCTGCGCCTCCCCAACCCGGCCCTGTCCCCTCTGCCTGCGCCTCCCCATCCGGGCCCTGTACTCTGCCTGCGCCTCCCCAACCCGGCCCTGTCCCCCTGCCTGCGCCTCCCCATCCGGGCCCTGTCCCCTCTGCCTGCGCCTCCCCATCCGGGCCCTGTCCCCTCTGCCTGCGCCTCCCATCCGGGCCCTGTCCCCTCTGCCTGCGCCTCCCCATCCGGGCCCTGTCCCCTCTGCCTGCGCCTCCCCATCCGGGCCCTGTCCCCTCTGCCTGCGCCTCCCCATCCGGGCCCTGTCCCCTCTGCCTGCGCCTCCCCATCCGGGCCCTGTCCCCTCTGCCTGCGCCTCCCCAACCCGGCCCTGTCCCCCTGCCTGCACCTCCCCATCCGGGCCCTGTCCCCTATCACTTTGGTCATGTGCCAGGACTGTCTGCCCTCAGATCTGTTTGTCACTACTGTGTCCCCAGCATCACCCAGTTTAGGATTAGGTACAGAAAACATGAATGAAATGTTTAAGTATAATTGCTGCTTTTGCATACCGCTCCTGGTTCACCAAATTTCGCCTCGTTTGGGTACCTGCTCCTCCAGGAAGCCCTCCCGGCCTGGGTGAGAGCAGGTCTCTCTAACCTCCCAGGCCCAGAGCTCCCCCTCCAGCAGGAAGACTTCCCCACGATGAACAGAGCAGTACACAGTGCACGGGCTCTGCTGGGCGCACCTCGAACACCCGCTCCTTCCGTCCTTGCTCCGAGGTAAGCCCACACTCCCACTTAAGCTGAGGCCCGAGAGGTCAAGCACTTGCCCAAGGTCACACAGCTAAGCTGCAGATCCAGGCCTGTCTGACCCTGAGCGCGGCCTCCGTACTCACACAACGCTGATGAGCACCAGGGCGCTGGGGATGCCCGTCCCGGGGCCCTGGTCCACCGGCGGTTCTGAGAAGCGGGAGCTGAGGGAGCCTGCGAGAACATCTTGGAGTCAGAGAGACGCACCAGCCCACCCCACCTGGGCCCGCTCCTCTGCCTGCCCTGCCCAGGCCTGCCCAACGCACCCGAGGTGTGCAGGCCAGCCCGGGCGCAGGGGTCAGGGTCCGGGTGCTGGGGTCCATCACCGTGACCCCTCCAGCTCAGAGGCCGCTTCCGCCTCCGCAGGCCTGACAGCAGTCCCCGGGCGTCCTTGCCGCCTTCCTCCAGGGACAGCTTCTCGGCCTTGGCAAGCTCTCGCTCTGCGGACACGAGAGAGGGCTCTGCAGGCCTGAGCTCAGCCGCGCCACCACCCCGTCCTGCCTTGGCCGACTCCGTCCCTACCCAGGTGGTGGAAATAATCCTCGATGCCGCTCCAGGAGTTCTTCTCAATGAGAGACTTCACCAGGCTCCAGGGCTGCTTCCGGTAGCGGATCTCAGAGGACACTCTGGGGTTGGGGGAACGGGATAAAGGAGTTGGGGTCTGACTCCAGCCTTGCTGCCCCATTCCCAGGGGTGCTCTCACCCCTAATTCAGAGAGGGCCCGGTGTACCCACAGACAAAACAATCGCATCCCCCCACCCACCCCCGGCTTCCCTGTGATACCCGCTCACCCAAGTGGCGGTCAGTCAGCTAGCCCCTCTCTGCCCACCCCCACTGCCCTGGCAAGTCTCCCGTCCGTAAGTCTGCCTCAGCACCGCCCACCCGGCCTGGCGGCTTGACACACACTTCAGCCCCGAACCCCTTCCTCCTCGCTGCTGCATGCAACTCCATCCACGTGGGGGTCAAAGGTAGCTCGGCATGTCCCCCATCCCGGCCAATGGCAGTTCCACCCTTAGAGGTTCAGGCCGACACCTCTGGGTGTTCCTGGCCCCCAGGGACCAACACTTCTGCTTGCCTGCCGGGGTGGCAGCCAGCATTCTGCTGCGGGCTTTGAGCGGGGAGTGGGGTGGAGGCAGCTCTCACCGGAGGCGGGCCTTGTTCCGCGCAAGGCCCAGGACGCAGTAGCGGTGGGCAGTGTAGAAGTAGTCCTGGTACGGGATGCCCTGCGTCAGCACCTCGGAGTCCACCACGCAGCCCCCCGCCTGCGGGCCACGCCGAAACAGCGTCTGCAGGGACAAGGGAGGGAGTCAGGGCCGCCCCACCGGGCCGCCCCCCCCGGCCGGCCACTGCCTGGCTCACCTGTGTCTCTACCACAGAGGCGCTCTTGGGACCCAGCGGGTTGCTGATGGGAATGGTGTAGGTCAGCACTCGGCGCTGACGGCACTTGCTGTCCCCACTCCAAGGGCTCAAGGTCACGTCTGGGCAGGGAAGAGCAGAATCAGACCATTCCCCAGCCCTCTGCCCTCAGGCTGTAGACCCTGCCCCAAACCTGCCCTTTCTCCATGTCCCCACCTTCCTTGGGGACACCTTTTAGATGTTGATGACAGCCAGAACCTTTCCCCCTCCCTACACTTCTCACCTCTCTTGGGGACATCTCATCCCTTTCTGCAGCCTCAGTTTCCCTCTCTGTACTCGTCCTGGCTTCCCCCTTGAGCCTCAGACCAGGATCCTGTGAGCTCCTGAACACTTTGCCCTGAAAGTCCCTGGCCCCGCACACCCACTGGCCTCCGTCTCTCTTCAAACCTGCCACCCTCCGGGCCCTATCCCAGGGTAGGCAACTGTCCTCCAGGCTCCCCCAGAGACAGCTTAGGATTAGGATTAGGTACAGAAAACCTAACAGCCCTCCTGTCCTGCCCAGCAGAGCAGGCCACACAGCCTCACCGGGTGCCACCGCGGGGGACAGGCTGCCCAGAGGCCGGGTCTGGCCCATCTGACTCTCACCCCCAGGGTCCGCTGGGACCACAGATCTCACCTCCGTTTCCTGTGTCCTGCCCCCCACACCTCCAGACCTTTGTGCACGTGGGTCTCCCTGCCTAGCCAGGGAGCCCCGGGCCTGGACACCCCTCCCCTGCCGGCTCCTCCGCGGGTCCCGTGGTCCACCCTTCCACTCCACCTGCAGCTGTGGCGTTCCTTGTCCACAGCTGGCCGCACGGGACCAGCTCAAGGGGTTTCCCACGTGCCTGCCCCCAGCCTTGGGGCCCACCTCCTCCCCTTTCCCTGGAAGACTGCTCCTTCAGGCCTTAGTTTCAATTTCACATCGTCCAGCAGCCTTTCCTGATACCTCAGGTCACAGCTACCCCTGACACACCTCATTCTCACTAGATTCTGGGTCACCTGTCCTGGTCTCTGCACATGGGCACTAAATGTAAGGTCATTACGTTGTATTTATGGAATGTGTGCTACAGGCTACTGTTCTAGGAACTTTTGTGGGTTTTTTTTCTTCATTGATTTTAGAGAGAGAGGAAGGGAGAGGGAGAGAGAGAGAGGGAAACATCAATGAGAGAGAAATTGACTGGCCGCCTCCTGCATGCCCCCCACTGGGGATTGGCCCACAACCTGGGCATGTGTCCTGACCAGGAATCGAACCAGTGACCTCTTGGTTCATGGGTCGACGCTCAACCACTGAACCACACTGGCCGGGCCTAGATACTTTTCTAGTATTAACTCATGTCACTCAGTTCTCCTGAGACCCTGATGAGGCGGGTACTGTCATCATACCTCTATCATGTGGAAGAAACTGAGGCACAGAGAGGCTGAACCCTGCTGGTCAAGAGGCAGACCACTCTGGCCTCACCTCCCCTGCACACAGCGCCCTCCCGGCCGGTGCCCCCCACCTCCCCCCCATGCCCGGGAAACCGCAGCTCCCACCTGTGAACTTGCACTGCTCCAGGAAGCTCTGCAGGAAGGGCGAGTCCGAGAAGAGCATCTGCTGGAGCCGCTCGGCGCCCACGTGGAAGACGGAGTTGATGAGGAGACGGCCGGAGAGGTCAGGAAGCAGGGCAGCCAGGTCCGCTGGGCACACAGAGGGGCAGCTGCTGAGGCCCCTGCTCCTCCCTTCCTCAGAGCGGTTCCCCGGTTTCTCCCTGGTGACCACTCCTCCCCACTCCTGGCCTTGTGAGGTAGATGGGCAGTCCTAGCCTCCAGAGTGGACACTGTGACACAGTACACAACTCGGCCCCCTGTGCCACCAGGGTGACTTTAGGGTGGCGTAGGCCTCAGGCCCAAATAATCAGAGCCACCATGACTGGTTCAAGGGGGAGTGACCACCCAGGCCCAGCCAACTGCATTCCCAGTGATCACAGCTCACTGGCCTGTGGCTCTTGGCCACAGTGATTGGTTCAGGGGTGTGTGTGACCCTAGGCCAGTAACTGGCTCAGAGGGGTGTGTGTGACCCAGGCAGCCACTGGGATCCTTTCGGAAGCTGGCTCATTCTCCACTCAGCCAGCCCTGGGGCCTTCAGCACAGCCCCTGGAAAAGCACCCTTCTCCCGGCTAGGCCTGCCTGGAGCAGGGCAGGGGGCCCCCTGCTTCCACGAGAGAACCTTCCTGAGAACACCTTGGCACAGAGAAAGGGGAATGACGATGCTGGAAATAGTGATCATCAATACTCACTAACCGGCCCAAGCACTTCACAAGTATTAGCTCATTTAATTCTCTTAACAATTCTATGGCGTGGACATTACTACTGCTAATCCCATTTGTCAGCGGAGAGGCTCAGAGGTTAAATAACTCGCCCAGGTTACGTACCTAGGAACCACGGTGGCCAGAATTTGAACCCTAGCCATCTGGCCTCGGTCGGTGCTCCTCTCCACCCTGCCCTGCTACCTTTAAAACAGAGCTCAGGACAGACAGCTGTCCAGCACCATCTGAATGCCTTACCTGCCCACTCCCTGGGTTTTTAGTCTGCTAAGCTAACCAACCCCTTGCTGAAGCCACTCGGAGTGAGGCCTGTCACGTGCCACTGAAGCCCGCGATCCGGGCCACCTGCCTCACCTTCCTCCCCCGTGGACGAGGAGGAGTTGCTCGTGTCCGTCAACAGCTCCTCGTTGGGCAGCAGGTCCAGGGGGCCCAGGGAAGTGGGCCCCTCGGGTGGGGTGGGCTCGGCGCTGGGAGGTTCAGCCACCAGAGTCACTGTCTGGCTGGAAGATGCGTCTGGCTGTCTGTCTGTCTGCTCCTCCTTGTCCTCTTCTGCCTGCAGATAATGGCGTAATCCAGCCTTGTCCCACCTCCACCCCAGCCTCGGGGCCCCCTGAGGGCCCGCAGCGGCCACAGGAATTCCCAGCGCTCACAGACGTGAGAAAGCCGACGCAGGGACGTCACAGTACATGAAGGGCTTCCAGCTGAGCTCCAAGAGGCCCTGGGGCCATCCAGACGAGGGCTTCTCTCAGCCCCTTCTGGGCTTGTCTTGGATGCCTAGGCCACACGCCTTCTTATGCCTGTCCTATCCATCTGTCTGTCCTGTCCACGCCTTACCGTGTCCTACCTCATCCACCCATTCCTCTCTTGCCTCTTCCGTCTCTCGCTCTTTCCATCTGTCTTCTCCCCTTTCCCTGTCTCTCCCATGCCCTACCTGTCCCTGTTTTCCTTGCCCATTTCCCTAGCTCCATCCTACCCCTCCATCTATTCCCTCTCTTACCCCTCCATCCACCTCCCCTGACCATCCCCTCCCGGTACACCCCCCCGAATCTGTCCCTCTCCCCGACACCCCCTCTAGCCTTCCTCTGCCTCTTCCCCTCAGCACCCTCCTCTCTCCTCCGCCCTCCTGCTCACCCCATGGTCTGCATCGCTGCTGGCTCGGGAAAGGTTGGGGGTGATGCGGCCACGGCGCGAACCCACTGGGCTGGGCTCCTGGCTGTGGTCGGCTACCCCTGAGGGAGTGATGTCACTCAGGGCAATCACATCTCCTACGTCCTTGGGGCTCCTGCAAGGAAAGGGAGGGTGTGGGATCACTGTTTCCTTGAGACCCCAAACACCCTCCTCCGTCCACCCCGGAGTCCAGGAGCTCTGGACACAGCCCCTCTCGTCTCCCCAACCCTGGGAACCAACTGTCAACCTCTGACTCACCCCAGTCCGTTCAGCTGCAAGGGGCAGACATAGTCCTCATCCTCGCTGGTGAGGCCCAGCTCTGAGCCGTAGCACTGGTGCACCAGGTCCCAGAGCTCTCGGGGACTCAGCGTCTGGCAGACAGGACGTGGGCGGGTTGGCCTCCACCTCACCCGGGCCAGAGCCCCTACCCCCCTACCAGCCTCAGCTCTCCCAGTGCCCACAGGGCAGCACGGTCCTGGCCCAGATCCCACACCCCAGGACAGCCCGGTGGGGGGAGCCCGTACGCTCATCAGGTTGTCACAATACTCAACACAGCTACGGGTTAACGGTCCCAGTATTACAGAGAAGAACCCGAGGCCCAGGGAGAAGCCATGTGCACAAGGTCACACAAGTGGTGCTCAGGGATTCACACCCAGCCGGCTCCAGAACCTCCCTCCTACCCCTCATGGTCCCCACCCATTTCTCCAGTGTCCTCCGAAGCCTTGTGCTCTCAGCCACCCGCGGCCAGAAGGGGAGACGACAGTACCGACGACAGCAGGACGACAGCAGCACACACTCACTGAGCCGTCACCGTCACCGTCACCATAGCTGCTAGGCATTTCCCTAATCCCTTCACACGAGCTAACTTCCTCCTCCCCTTTCCCTGGAAGACTGCTCCTTCAGGCCTTAGTTTCAATTTCACATCCGTCCAGCAGCCTTTCCTGATACCTCTCAGGTCACAGCTACCCCTCTGACACACCTCATCCTCACTAGATTCTGGGTCACCTGTCCTGGTCTCTGCACATGGGCACTAAATGTAAGGTCATTATGTTGTATTTATGGAATGTGTGCTACAGGCTACTGTTCTAGGCACTTTTTTTCCCTTCAATATTGATTTTAGAGAGGAAGGAAGGGAGAGGGAGAGAGAGAGAGACACTGATGAGAGAGAACATTGACTGACCGCCTCCTGCATGCCCCCCACTGGGGATTTGGCCCACAACCTGGGCATGTGCCCTGACTGGGAATCGAACCGGTGACCTCTTAGTGCATGAGTCTTTAAAACAATGCCGTTCGATCGGTGCTTTTTTTTTTTTATCCTCACCTGAGGACACTTTTCCATTTTTCTGTTCAGATAGAGTGGGAGGGCCCTGGCCGGTTTGGCTCAGCGGTTAGAGCGTCAGCCTACGGTCCACAGAGACCGGGGTTCGGTTCCCGCTAAGGGCATGTACCTTGGCTGCAGTTTGTCCCCGGCCCTGGTTGGGTCGTGTGGGTGGTGGCCACTCGATGTGTCCCTTTCACATCGATGTTTCTCTCTCTTCCTCTCTCTCCTTCCTGCTCTGAGTAAAAATTGGAAAAATGTCCTCGGGTGAGGATAAAAAACAAAAAAAACAAAAAAAGAGTGGGAGGGAGAGAGAAGAGGAGAGAGAGAAACATCGATGTGAAAGGACACATCGAGTGGCTGCCACCCGCACAACCAACCAGGGCCAGGGCCAAACTGTAACCGAGGTACACGCCCTCAGCGGGAATCGAACCCGGGTCTCTCTGGACCGCAGGCTGTTGCTCTACCCACTGAGCAAAACTGGCCAGGGGACCGATCGGTGCTCTTATCATTTTAATACAATAACACTGAGGCACAGAGGTGCCCGAGTGGCAGTGCCAAGTTGGGATCCCAGGGGCTGGTCTAGCACCTGTAACTAACCACTGGACTACCCTGCCTCACACGAGATGACACTGCCGAGCACTTATTCTGAGCCCAACTCTGGCTGCTATGAAGTAGGGACAGTCCCCCTCAAACCAATGGGGTTCAGTGATTTACCAGGTCACTCAGCTCCTCGGTGATGGGGCTGGAACTCTAACCCTGGCAATCTGGCTTCATGGACTAAGCTTTGAACACGGACGCTTCGCCTGAGCTGTGCCCACGCTCCTCTGGCCCCTGACGCCCACAGCTGGAGCAGCCCCAGAGGACAGGACGTGAACACTGCTGGAGCAGCGGGCCTGGCCCTCTGAGGGGCTCCAGCCCACCAGCAGCAGACAGGGAGCCATACCAACCCAACATCAGCCACCCTCCCTCCCTGCCAGCAGTCCTCTGATTTGTTTGGGGTGGAAAACTTCTCCAGCCAATTTGTCTTTCCTTTGCCACAAACCCAGCTTCCTTTGCAACAGCTGAAGGCAGTCATGTGACCCAGTTCCAGTCAAAGAAATACAAAGGGAAATCTGCTAAAGGAGGCTTTTCCTCCCTAATACAGGAAATTCTACTTCCTATCCACCCTCCCCTCCTTCATGGTTGGGACACTTATACGAGGGCATGAGGTCTGACGCTATAGCAGCCACTTTGTAACCATGAGGCAGCAAGCATGTGAAGAAAACATTCATCTGCAGAGGATGAGAGTGTGGAAAAATGGACAAGAGCTTGGAACCCTGATAACACAGGGAAGCCTTCAAACCCACCCTGGACCACCTGCCTCCAGCCTCTTACATGAGCATCAGTGGGACCCAGTGGTCGAGTGGAGTCCAGAACCTGACTGCGATGGGTCAGAAACCGGCTCGATCACATAGAAGCCCATGTGAGCAGGGGCAAAACTATCCTTCTGTGCCTCATTGGTGAGATAAAGATAACCACCATACTGCCTCATAGGCTGGTTGGGAGGACTAAATGAGTTAATTCATGTAATGCTCACATCAGTGCATGGCACTGGGTAGCACCGTAAGTGTTAGCTAATATCACTGAAGGAATTAATTCCGTATCTGCTTAAACCATTGGTTGGCATTTCAGTCACTTACAGCCAAATGTATCCTACGTAAACCTACGTGATCACAGTGGGCATTCCAGGAGAGCCCGCTCGGAGCTAAACATGATTCAAGCCCGGCCGGTGTGGCTCCGTGGTTGAGCATGGACCCATGCACCAAGAGGTCGCCGGTTCGATTCCCAGTCAGGGCACATGCCCAGGTTGTGAGCCCAATCCCCACTGGGGGGCATGCAGGAGGTGGCCAATCAATGTTCTCTTTCATCTATGTATCTATCTTTCTCTCCCTCTCCCTTCCTCTCTCTCTAAATATCAATAAAGAAAAAAAATGTAAAAAAAACATGATTCAAAATTAAGATTTGGGATTTAAGAAAGATAATATAGTGCCAATAATAATAACCGTATTATAGTAAGTATCCAGTGCAGTGTATGCCAGAGGTTATCAAAGCACAGTCCAAAGATTTCTGGGGGTCCCCTAGGCCCTTTCAGGGGGTCCATGAGGTCAAGACCATTTTTATAAGTATGATAAGCATTACTAGTAGTATAAGACGCTACTTTTCTTTTCACTTTGACTCTCCCATGAGTACACAGTGGTTCTCCAGAGGCTGTATGACAGGGGAGGCTGTTATTTTTCTGGTGGCTAATGAAATACGTGCTTGTGTATCCTTGTGCTTAAAAATTTCCCCGTTTCAATTTCTAATATAGTAAATATCAGTCGATATAACCCACTTACACAAATGCTCTTTGGAGTCTACAGTTACTTTAAGGAGTGTACAGAGTTCCCGAAACCCTAACATTTGAGAATCACGGGTAGATTCTATATTGGGTACTATAACTTTATACTGATCACATCTAGGATTTACCCCAGTCATGCCCATTAATAACGTTTTGTCCTGAAACACATGTAGTGTCATAGTGTGACAGAGACATGCATGACCATTAACATTTAAATTAATTACACTGAAATTAAACACATAAGTCTTCAATCACACTAGCTACTTTTTTTTTTTTTTAATCCTCACCCGAGGACATTTTTCTATTTTTTGCACAGATAGAGTGGGAGGGAGAGAGAGGAAGGGAGAGAGAGAGAGAGAAACATCGACGTGAAGGGACACATCGAGTGGCTGCCACCCGCACGACCAACCAGGGCCGGGGACAAACTGCAACCGAGGTACGTGCCCTTAGCGGGAACCGAACCCGGGTCTCTCTGTACCGCAGACCGACGCTTTAACCGCTGAGCCAAACCGGCCAGGGCCACACTAGCTACTTTTTAACAGTCCCATAGGCACACGTGGCCAGTGGCTACCGTCCTGGACAGCAGGGACAGAGAGCACGTCCCTCACAGCACCCAGTTCCGTGACACCGTGCTGATACACAAGATAATAACCATGTTGTTAGCTCAGACCAGATCTCGATGCCACGTATACCAAACGTTCTGGTGAATAAGGGGCCGTGGGTACACATTTCTAGTGGGCAGGGTCCGCTGCTAGAGCCCATTGCCCCTCACAGGGCCTGCGGAGGAGCTGCCGATATGTTGGACCAGATCCTCAAGAAGAGCTGGGCGGCCCTGCAGCTCTGCACCCCTGGCCCACCCCGAGGCCCCTGCCCAGGCCTCATCCGCGCCCACCTTTTCAAGCAGCGCATTCTGCCAGAGGCGGAAGATGAGCAGGAAGCAGCGGTCCCGGGCTCCGAAGGAGGTGAAGAAATGCTGCAGGAGAGAGACGGGGTGTGGGAGAGACACGGACGGACAGGGGGGAGCTCCATCCCCATCCAGCTCTGTTCCTGATCTCCATCCTGATGCACATCCATTCACTCCTTCCTTCATTCATTCCAGTGTTTATCCTGTGCCAACCTGGCACTGGACACTGTAGTCACAGTGATGAGGACATGGCCCCTGGGCCTATCCCCTGGCCTTGTCCCCAGAGCTCACAGTCCAAGGTGTGTTTCTGTGTGAGTGTGTCCCCGTCTCCCTTCCTGTCTGGGCACTGGTATGAGGCAGCCATCTGGGGACCACAAGGCAGTATCATGAAGACAGAATGGAGTGTCAGGGAAGGCTTCCCAGGAGAGGGGACACTGAGCCGTAGATATGTGGGAGGAAGGCTTTTACTCCTAATCCTGTCTCAGAGCCACTGTGTGAGGGGACGGACTTCAGGGACGAGAAAGCAAGAGGCTGGTGCCGAGATCCAGGTCACAGATGATGGGAGCCGGAGCCAGGGCAGGGGCATGGAGAACAAAGAGAAAGCCACAGACTGAGCGCCTTGGGGGGGGAGAAGGGAGAGGCTGGCCGAGATCCGGGACCACACGGCCTTGTCAGCAGGCCCTCGCACTCACCTTCTCGCTCTCTGTGCAGATCTGGATGGCATTGGGGATCAGCTTGGCTGTCTTTTCCTTCTTGAGACACGTCACTTCCTTCAACTGGATGGAAATCTAAGACGGACAGGCGGGTCAGGAGGGGCCAGAGCCCTGCCTGCCCCAAGCCCCTTCTCACCCCAGGTCGGCTCACTGTCGTCTCCCAGCGGAAGATGTTGCTGTAGAAGCAGATCCAGTTCTCGGAGAGATACAGGCGGCCCTGGAGGAGGATCTCGCGCTGCAAGGCACAGGAGTAATCTGAGGCGGCCAGGGGAGAGACGGCAGACACCTGTGTCACATGGCTGGCCTGGCCGGCACCCAGGCGGGGAGGGTCGAGAGGGCAGAGCTGGAGCTCAGGGTCGGGTCCAGGCCTGGGTGGGCATCAAGACTCACCCACAATGAGGCGTTCGGCTTCGGGGAGTTTGCTGAACAGTTTCCGGAAGTCTTCGTTCCGCTGTTTGTACGTGGGGCTCAGCATCTGGGGAAAGTCAGGGAGGTGTGAATCCAGATGGGGTTCATACCCTAATTCTGCCCCACTACACTCCCAGAAGCAACTCAGTCTCCTCTGCCCCAGCCACACAGGCTGTCCGAGGCTTCAAGTCTAGCTCACTCTCGTTTCCACTGCCAGCAACGCAACAGTAGCCACAATGAGAACTCCCCTTCACTGATTTCTACATGAGCCAGGCTCCACGTCACAGACCCACCAGCATCACCGACTCTTAGTGAAAGTTCCCTTCAGCTGTGCAAGGTTGGGACTGTTTCTCGAGAGAGGCCCAGAGAGGTTCAGCAACTCACTCAAGGTCACACAGCACATAAGTAGCAACAGAGGTGTGACCTGAGATCTGCTGACCCCAGCACCCACTTCTTGACTGCTGTCCCCTTCCTCCCACCCCTCCAGCAAGTCCCCTGCCCGACACTTACACTGTACCAGCTCTGCATCTTCTGCAAGAGAAAGGAGTGCAGTCAGAACAAGCCCCTGCTTCCCCCACCTTCCACCCTCGCCCCACCCTGCCTGGGCCTGTACCAACCTTGCTATTGCGAATGAAGTTCCGGCTGCCCAGGCTCTGGGTGCTGGGTGTCCCGGGCACCCCACCCTTCTCTGAGGAGCTATCTGACCCCTTCTCCACCATGGTGCCTGGTTCTGGCTCAGGTGGGGGTCGGCTTGGGGGCAAGAGCTGCAGCCGCTTCCGGAGAGATGGGGAGCTGCTTGGTGTGCTCCGGCCAGAGTGGGGGGTGGTACTAGGGGTAGGAGGAGGAAGAGGAGGAAAAACCAGCTGGGGTGTGGAGACAGGCATCTTTTGGGAGGCCTCAGTCCACTGATCCCCACATATCCATTCAACCCCACTTCCCAGCAGCAGGTTCCCTTCCTCTGCACCTCGCTTACTTCCTCTGCACCTCGCTTACTTCCTGTGACCCAGGCATAAGAAATACATGTCCTCATCTGGTTGTCGGGTAGGTTCAACAAATCAACACATGTACAGTGCTTCTAACAGAGCCTGGCACACAGTGAACTCAATACACCTGCTGTTTTCTGAGTTAACATATTAGTCATTTGTACAATAACTACTTACTGGGCAGCCCCTTCTCCTCAGTTGCTTGAGCTAAAAACCTAAGCATCTTATTTTCTTTCTTGCCCCCCCTCATTCTGATCTGTTAGCAAGTCCCACCTCCAAAATCTATTTCCATTATATACCACTTCCCCTGCTCCAGCCTCCTGCACACCAGTAGCCCCTACCATCTGCTCCCCACATGCAGCCGGAGTGGGCCTATGAACCCAGGTGAGGTCAGGTCAGGAACCCCTGGCTGAGTCCTCACCAGGCTGCACCTCCATTCAGCTAAAAGCAAAGTCCTTACCTTGGCACCCGAGGCCCTGGCGTGGTCCCTGTCACTCCCTCCACGCCAGCCTCCTTTTGTCCCTTAAGCCCACCAAGTGCGTGTCTGCGTCAAGGCCTCTGCCCTTCCATTCCCTGTGCCTGAGCATCCTTCCGCAGCCCCAGCATACGCCGCTGTCTTATTTCACTCAAACGCTCTTTTCCAGGGGCCCAGCCTGAAGCGGCCCCCGGCCCCACTCACACTATCTCAACTCATCCTCGTCACGTATTCGGTTTGTTCACTGTTTGGCCCAGACTGTGAACTTCAGGAGGGCCTAGTTGCCACTGTGTCCCCAGCACCCAAAACTGTAGCTGGCACACAGTGAACTCTGAGTACACGTTGGTGGCTCCATGAATAATCCGTGTGCTGCCTAGAGCTGGGAGCGGCAGAGACCACCAGATGTGGTTCCGCCTCAGAGGATCGGCCTGCCGCTGCGGGGCAGCCCCAGAACAAGCAGAACCCGCAGGCGTGGAGACACAAAGTGTCACAGGGCTGGGGGTCAGTCAGAGAACTTCAAAGGGACACTCGTGTTGACTTTGTGTCAGGACCTAACAACAAGGCGTGTGATGAACTACTGTTCCTCACTCAACGCTGTGCATTTGATACTCTCACCAACCCACTTCACAGAGGAAGAAACTGAGGCCCAAAGTAGCAAACTGCTTGTCCACTGTTTAATTCAGAGCAGGATTCCAACATGGGGGACTCAGTCTCCCCTCAGGAGGAGGTGGGAGTTCCTCAACCACCCGGGGCTCATCAAACTTCTCTCCCTTGCCTCCAAGGTTTAGCACATGCTCTTCCCTTCATCCAGACTGTCCTTTCTTTTTTTCTTTTTATTGATTTTAGAGAGAGATGAAGGGAGAGAAAGATGGAAACATCGACTGGCCGCCCCCTACATGCCCCTCACTGGGGATCGGGCCCACAACCTGGGCATGTGCCCTGACCAGGAATTGAACCGGCAACCTCTTGGTGCATGGGTCGATGCTCAATCACTGAGCCACAATGGCAGACATCTTTTTTTATCCTCACCTGAGGGCACTTTTGCATTCATCTTCAGATAGAGCGAGAGGGAGAGAGGAAGAGAGAGAGAGAGAGAGAGAGAGAGAAACATCGATGTGAGAGAGATACATCGACTGGCTGTCACCCACACGACCCCACCCAGAGGGACAAACTGCAACCGAGGTACGTGAGTTAGCGGGAACCGAACCCAGGTTTCTCTGGACCGCAGGCCAACACTCTAACCGCTGAGCCAAACCAGCCAGGGTTGTCCTTTCTCTTCTTTTCCTGGCAAATTCTTATGCATCCTTTGGGATTCTCGCTCCACACCTCCTCCCTCCTGGACACTGTCCCCCTTCGGTGAGTCCCCACAGCTCCTATCCCAGCTCTAACCACTCTGCCCTGAGCACTCTGTGCTGTCACTGTTTAATGACAACTCCATTCCCCCCGAGATCTGTAAGTTCCTTGTTGTCTTGGTCACTGCTCGGTCTCCAGTATTGCTCAAGACAGGCACCAGGGTAGGCATTCATGTCATACTTGTGAAATGAATTTGTGGAAATAAACGAACTAGATGGCCACCTGGGCCACCACCACTCCTCCTAGACTCCACCTGCTCCCCAGTTCTTCCTGCTCCACCCGTCCCGCACATGCAGCCAGGCAGAGCCTGTGACCCCGTCAGGTCAGGGCCCTCCTGCTAGGCCCTCCCCTGGCGCATCCACTCCAGCTAGAGGCCCAGGGCTGGATGCTCTCGTGCCCCCTCCCTCCCTCTTTCCCAGCTCCGGCATTGACCGTTCCCTTTGCCCAAATGCCCTTCCTCCCATGACTGCAGGGCTCCCTCACCTCCTTCAGGTCCCTGCTCAGTGAGACACGTCTCCAAGACACCCTCCTTCCCCTCTCTATTGAAAACACACTTCCCACCTCCAAGCACCCTTCCTCTCCATCTCTCCCCTCAGCACTTTCCTGACCTGACCTGTGTCTGTCCTTGCGTCTTATCCTCCCACAAGGGGTGCACTCCAGGGGCAATGCAGTTATGTTCCCAGCTGCATGCTCCTCAGCACTTGTTCTTGTGGACAGAATGAATGAATGACCCTCCGCCCCCCACCCCACATCCCACCCAGAACTTGGATTCAACCAGTCTGCAACTTGCCCAACCCTCCGAGGGCTCAGGCCGCAGCTGGTCTGTTTGTCCACTCCCCTGTGTGACCTTGGGCGAGTGTCTGAACCTTTCTGAATGATTTTTTGTGTGTTTTGTTTTGAGTATAATGGGAATATAACAGTATCCACCTCACAGAGGACACGCATACATACAGCCCACCACATGGAGGGCTGTCTGGTTTGGTCATTCGGGACTGTCAGGATGGAACGGAGTCCATGGTCCTGCCACTGCCCCGGCACACCTGTGTCTAAGATGCTACACCGGCCCCGCCAGGTATGGCAAGACACCTCAACCTGACTGACCCTCTCTAACCACACACTGACCACCTGCCGTGCACCGGGCACGGACACACAGAAGTGAGCAAACCAGGTATAATCCCTGCCCGCAGGACCTGGTATTCTGTGTAGGGAACAATCAATAAGGAAATATATAAACAAAGATGATAATCTCACTGACACGAGTCACACCAACGGCACCAGCAACACCTGGAGGTTGTGAGAAATGCAGATTCTGGGGCCCACTACAGCCCTCCTGAATCACAGACAGGGTGGGGCCCAGGAGACTGCTGCATGTCCCAGCTGGACGACCACAGTGACAAAGGAGGGCTAAGTGGGCGGATGGGGTGCAGGCACACATGAGCTGCCCCCGTCCCAGGATAAAAACAGATCTGAGCCCTGGCTGGATAGGCTCAGCTGTTAGAGCATCGGCCCGCGGACCAGAGAGTCCCGGGTTCGGTTCCCGCTAAGAACACGTACCTCGGTTGCACTGTGTCCCCAGCCCCGGTTGGGGTTGTGTGGGTGGCAGCCTATCGATGTGTCTCTCTCACATCGATGTTTCTCTCTCTCTCTCCCGCCCCCCTCCTTCCCGCTCTATCTGAAGATAAATGCAAAAATGTCCTTAAGTGAGGATTAAAAAAATATATATATATCTGACAAAGGGAGGGGGAAGACTGTTTAAGGGGCAGGAACAGTGAGTTCAGGGACAGGGTTGAGCTAGGCAGGCCTGAAGAGTGAGGTGGTCTGACCCCGGCCGGTTTGGCTCAGCGATAGAGCGTCAGCCCGCGGACCAATGAGTCGCGGGTTCGAGTTCAGGGCAAGGGCACGTTCCTCGGTTGCGGTTCATCCCCGGCCCTGGTCGGGGTCCTGTGGGAAGCAACCAGTCAATGTGTCCCTCTAACGTCAATGTTTCTTTCTCTCTCCCTTTCTCCCTCCCACTCTATCTGCAGATAAACAGACAAATATCGCCTCGGGTGAGGATTAAAAAAGAGTGAGGTGGTCTTTGGGGCTAGGAAAGGAGGACAGGCCCACCCACAGGTGCTGTGGGCTCTGGTCAGGAGTCAGGGCTTCACTGATGAGCTACGGCGGTTCTGAAGGAAAGCTGACCACACTCCTCCCCCGCCTCATCTCCTCCCCTCTGGTCTGAGCTGCGGACCTCCTCCACCGTCCTATCTCCTATCTCCGTCAGCCAGCGTCTAAGGACAGGTCTAACAGACAGACAGAGCAGGGCAGGGCCCACGCCCCCCGAGTCTTGCTCCTTCGCAGGAGGAACAGGAAGTGCTCAAGGGCAGACACAGCCCTGAGGTTGCCAATCAGGCAGGCTGCAGCAAAGATGGGAGGAGCCCCAAGTGGCTGGAGGACCGTTATGGGGGCAGGAACTCAGAAGAAAATGAGGTTTTGCCACCAAAGATACCTCACCTCCAGCTTCCTGGGCCTCAACAGGCCCAGAGCCCCCTCGGGTCAGAGGGGGCCAGACGTGCATACTGGGTAAAAGCGAAGCTGAACAGCCAGCGTCACAGGCAAAGTAGTTCTCCACAGCTGCAATGTCCCCACCCCCCGCAGTAGTACCACAGGTATGTTCCAGGCCCCCACAGAGCCATGAATCCCAGCCAAATCACACCCCGCCCACAGCCTTACAAGTATGCCACAGCCACAAATTCCCAGAAGTTACACGCACGCACACGCACGCACACACGAAGCTGCAGAGGGTTACAAATACACTGAAAACGACACAAAGTCCTAGATAAATTACATTCACACATAGAGCTGGCAAGAACATCTCAGAGAAGAGCTGAAAGCAAACAGTCCCAGCTACAGAGTCAGCAGTGAAAGAATACTCACAGCGGACCCCAGCTAACATAAGCACAACCTAGGGCAGCGGTTCTCAACGCCCTTTTCACAGGGGTCGCCTAAGACATAACAGTAGCAAAATTACAGTAATGAAATAGCAACAAAAATAATTTTATGGGTGGGGGTCACCACAACATGAGGAACCGTATTAAAGGGTGGCGGCACTAGGAAGGTTGAGAACCGTTGACCTAGGGAAATTAAGTCACAGGGTCCCTCAGCTACCTGGGTGTTCACCATTTGGCAGAGAAGACAAAGCAAAGGCCTGCTTTAACATGGCAAGGGATGGAGGTGGCAGCTGCTGTGACTCCCAGAGAACCCTCACACTCGCCCAGAAGCTGCAAAGGACTCAGAATAATGCAGAAAAAGGGGTTGTGGCCACATCTGAACAACACATCGGCCAGGTTATCGATCTAATGCACGGGACATGCTCTGTAAACTGTAACAGGGGAACAATGTCAATTATGATTATTGCTCCAGAGTCAAAAGTACCCCCCAAGGTCTCAGGAGGGAGGGCCCCAGGCCCACTAAGAGTCACGAGTCTCTTGCTCTTCACACACACACAAAGCCCCAGAGGGTCCCAGCTGCATACGTGGAAGCCCAGGCACATACATATAACAATGTCACAATAGACACACAACAGGAACTTTCACACAAAGGTGGACTCTGAGGTAAACTACAGGCACAAGCCCAGAGAGTCTCATTCATACATGCCTGGCCACCCTCGGACACACAGGTAACTGAAATGCGTTCACAGAGCTAATAGGTTCAGAGGTAAATTACAGGCACATTCAGAGGCTGATGGAAGTAGGAGTAAGCACAGTGCCCCAGACACAGAGGGTCACACATTACAGTCACAACCAGGCAGTCAACTCACAGGGACACTTACAGCCACAGACGGAATCAGGTGTAGATTACACACAAACACACACACCCCACACAGCCAGGGAGGATCACAGCTGTCTGCACCGGAGGAACCTAGACACATGCACACAAACTCCAAAGTCCCAATCTGACAACAGGTCTGATGGGATGAGAAACATCACACGCACAACCACAGAATGTCGTAGCCATACAAGCTGAGCCCCAGACTGACTACAGTCACAACCAGACACAGGCAGGGAACTTACAGTAACATATGGGGTTCAAGGTAATCTACACACACAGCCCTAGAGGACCCCAGAGGCCTGAACACTAGGAACACAGACACGCATACACAAACTTCCCAGACACCTACAATTCAGAATCAGAAACACCGGGCCCAGGCAGGGTGCAGGAGGACCCCAGAGGGCTCAGGCACGCGGTGGGCCCGCCACGCGGAAGCCCCCGTCCCCCACTAACCCCGACCGAGACACGCGATAAACCAGGACGGTGGAAGGAGGCTCAGACCCCGGAGGGGCTGCTCCTGGGCCTGCCCCGGGGCCGCGGCCTGAGGGCCTGCCCTGCCTCCAGCCCGGGTCCCAAGACCCGGGTCGGCCGCGCTCCTACCCCCTGCCTCCCAAGCAGGGGCGAGTCGGGCCGGGCCCCCCCCCCGCAGGCGCGCTCCCGCGGAATCAGCCCGGGACCCCAGCGCCAGCCCCGCCAACCTGACGCATCGCTCGCTCCCTGGCAGCGACCAGCCAGGCCGGGGCCTCCCCGCCGTCCGCGTGCAGCCCGTGTGCACCCCAGGACCCCGAGCCCCTCTCCCCGCCGGGCCCGGCCCACGTGCACGGGGTCCGGGCCCTGGGCTCCGGGCCCCCCGCCCCCACCGGTCCTTACTCGAACATGGATGCGGCGGCGGGCGCGCCCAGCCGCAGGGCAGGGCCGGGCGAGCGGGGCTGGGCCGAGCTGGCGTCCCGGCAGGACACCCGCCTCGCCTTCCGAGGCCGCCGCCCCACCGACCCCGCCGCCCGCACAAAAGGCCTCAGCTGCCGGAGGCCGCCGCGGCGTCACGCACCCCCTCCCGCCCCCGCCCCCGCGCGTCACGGCGCCGCCCCCGGCCCGCGAGCGAGGTGGGGGAGGGACCGGCCGCGGCGGGGGGCGGGGCCTGGGAACGAGGCCGGAGCGGAGAGGAGCCGCGGAGAGGGAGCCGCCGGAGGGTGCTGGTCACCGCCGCGGAGGCCGGCGGACACCGGGAGGCCCCCGCGGAGAAGCAGAGACGGGGGGACTTGGGGGCTCCGGGGGAGGAAGAGCGGGACCTTGCAATCGAGAGGGGCGCTGGGGCGCCGGAGATGGAGGGAGAGAGCCAGAGAGAGGAAGCTAAAGGGGGACGGAGACCGAAAATCTAAAGAGAGAGAGAGGAACACAGAGGCCGACGATTAAAACAAAACGCCGCCATGGCAGCTGCCTTGGCGCAGGCTGCCACCGCTCCCCTGGCGCCCCGAAAGGGGTCCCCAGCTCCAATGATGCCCCTGGCCGGGAGCTCCCGCCCCTCCAGAGCAGAACCCGCGAGGTGGCGTGGAGCTGGGGGTGGATGAGGTTCTGGGAAACCGAGGTGTTGGGGCGACATGCCCTGGGGGCAAGGGGGGTCGCGGCTTCGGGAAGGGTTGCCCCCAGGCGGTTCCAGCGCCTGGGTCTTGGGAACCCCTCTCCGACCCAGCGCTTGTCAGCCAGGCCAAGTTAGAACCCAGCCTCCCTGCCGCTTATCTATACTGTGACCTTGAGCAAGTCAGCCCAGTCCTGGGGATCCCACTACTGTGATAAGGGCTTTCCAACAGGGCAGAGTGAGGGGGGCAGCAGCGCCCTTTCACAGCCGGGGATACCGGGCCTCAGAGACGGAAAATGGTTAGGCCCAGGGTTGGACGGCACCCTGCCCTGAGGCCATGCGCCTGTCTCGGTTGGCCCTGGACTCCTCTGCCTTTGCGGGGAACACGGAATGTGCGCTCCACTCCACAGCTTCTGGCCAGAAGCATCCACGCACAGAGAATTGCTCCCACTCCTCTGCAGGATAGGCTGTTCCTTCCTCTAGGAAGAACACTCCATTTCCATCCCTCTCCCCCAGCTCCGAACTGTCCAACTTGACTTCGTTTTGGTGGATGGCAGGCCCCAAACTTGAGTCTTTCCTGATCCCTCCGTCTCATCACACCCACTCCAATCTGCAAACTCTGTAGCTCCACCTACACAATCCACCCAGAATCCAAATTCTTCGCCCCCTCCACCGCGCACCTGGCCCTGCCGCCTCCCTGTCTCCTGCTCCTGTTCCCGCCCCTACCGTCGGCTTCCTACAGGCAGCCAGAGGGAGCCTGTGAACCCCATTCAGGTCTCTGAGCCCTCCTGTGGCTCCACCTCATTCCAGCGTAAAGCAAAGTCCTCACCTTGATGCCAAAACACCGCTTTTACTTCACCTGCACCCCCCCCCCCACACACACACACACACACCCTCCAGCCCCCAACCTCCCTGCTGTTCCTCTAACTCACTAGACACATTCCTGCCCTGGGCCCTTGGCATTTCCTGTTTCCTAGGCTTGGAAGCTCTTCCCCTCAGTTCTTCCCTTGACTGTCTCACCCTCAGATCTCAGAGAGACCCCCTTCCGCCATCTCCCTGTCTCACTACTCTCTTTGCCTGTTTCTTGTTTTGAAATACTTTAACGTTTTAAATTAGAGAATGTTTACTTCAAACAAGAAAAAATATAACTGCCATCTATGTCCCCATTACCCATATATAATTGATGTGGACATTTTGCCCTTTTTGCTTCAGATCCTTTCTTGGCTTCTTGTTTGTTTGTTTGTTTTATCCTCACCTGAGGACATTTTTTTTTTTCCATTTTTTGTTCAGATAGAGCGGGAGGGAGAGAGTGGAAGAGAGAGAGAGAGAGAGAGAAACATCGACGTGAAAGGGACACATCGAGTGGCTGCCACCCACACGACTCAACAGGGCTGGGGACAAACTGCAACCAAGGTACATGCCCTTAGTGGGAACCAAACCCAGGTCTCTCTGGACCGCAGGCCAATGCTCTAATTGCTAAGCCAAACCACCAGGGCTTTTTGTTTGTTTTTTAAGAAATAAATGATTACAGTTACCACCAAAGGTTCAGATCCCAATCCTGTTTTCTCTGCCTCTGCCTTCGAGGTACACACTGCCCTGAAATTGGTGTTTTTCCTGGGCGCTTTTCCATCCTTTGTCTACATAGGGATGCATCCACCAACAATATAATAGGTACTATTGTTAAATGACTTAAAAAGATACACAGTTAGGCTCCTACTGTATCATTTTACAACCTGCTTTCTCCATCATCATTGTTTCTGAGATTTCTCCACGTTGACACACAGAGCTCTACTTCATAAATTTTAACTCTTCCTATGAGTTCACTGTTGGAAGAAACCACAGTGGATAATTCTCTTCAGGGCCAAAGTCGTTCTTTCCTCTTTCCCCTTTTAGCCTTGAACCTCCCAATTCCTGTCTCCTGGTGCCAGAACTGGTATTTCTTTGCAGAAGTTTCATTGTTTAAACTTTTTTTTTTTTTGCTTGTGAGCTGCAACAGGAAATACCTTTTATATTGGCTTCCAGTAGACACTTAGAAATATATAGGTAAAGTTACAAAAGTTGCAGGAAACCACATTACTCACTATGCCTCATACGCTGTTACTTTCAATTCTATCCTAATTCTGTTTGGAAAAAGGCTGATTGCAATGTACTACATTGGTGTCATGGTCCTTGAATGGGTCACGACCCACAGTGTGAAAAACACTGAGCTCAGAGTTGCTGGTCCCAGTGAGTGCTCCCAGCTGCCTGTTTTTGTTTGCCCATTTATTTTACAACTTCCAGTCAGGCTAAGGCCACCTTCTAACCGAACTCCAGCCCTCATCTGGACAGTGACAACCACAGGAAACCCACCCACTCTTGAGCATGAGTTCCTAGAAAGAGAAAACTCCTTGCCTGCCCCACCACCCAGGTCTCACCTCTCCTGGGGCAGACTCTCCAGGTCTGGAGTCCTCAGCAGCTGCAGGCGCTGGAGTGTCGGGGTACAGTGGGGTGACTCCCCATCACTGGATGGTGTTATCTGAATGGAGGGCACCTCCAGGAACCTCCAGGGCTCAGGGGCCAGGCCCTCAGCCCTGCCATTCTGTGGCTGCTGGCTCTGCCACTCAGCTGGAGGGACAAGTGAGTCCTGGGTCAGCAGGGGCAAGAGCTCGGCCATGGGGAGGGTCATGCCTACTTCGTTGGGGGCCGTGGACAGCAGGTGTGGTCTCTGGGGGAGAAAAAGAGAGGTGAAGGGGAGAGCTCCTGTCCAAGCTCAGCCCCTCCCCCCAAAAAAGATGAGCTGAGGTGCAGAGCATTCTGTGGGGGTCAGAGAGGTTTGGGTGGGACTCCTACCTCTGCCAGTATCCTCCCTTCATGACCCCGAGCCTCAGTTTCTTCTTCTGGAAACTGAAGGTCCTGATGCTGACATCTGGGGTGACTGAGCCCTGACATAAGGAACGCCTAGCCTAGGGCCCAGCACAGTAACAGGTCAGTGAATGTTCATGAAACCTGTTCAGGGCCAGGGTTTGGTTTTGGTTTTGAGTATTCACCAAGGCCAAGGCCAACCTTGGGTTTTCTATAAACCCACCACCCAGCTCCCTTGCACACACAGATCCAGGAAGGAGCCAAACCAGAGGGGCCCAGCGGCCTCAGGCCCGGTTGGCTGATCAAGAGAGGCCGCATCCAGGGTTTCCCCTCCCTGTTTGCTCAGCAATTGCCCCTCCCAAGACAAACAGCCGGAGTGTGGCAGGGCTGCGGCGGCCTCGATGGGAGGAAGCCAGGCCTGTTCCTGCCATTACAGCTGTAATAGTGGAAGCTGTCTGGGTCTGGGGAGATCAGATCAGTGTCTGTCTGTCCTCGCAGCGAGGACTTCTTGCTGCCAGGGAAAAGGACAGAAGGACCTGTGGGATTCAGAGAGGGTTTCCCCTGATTCAAGGAAGACTCTGACTCTTACAGGCCAGGCCTGGACCCCAGGGTCCTTTCCAGGAACCCCAATCCCCCTACCTTACGGCTTCTACTTCCTTCTGTCCTCACTAGGTTTGGACTTCCAGGGTAAGAGCAAGAGAATAGGCCCTTCCCTGCCCCCCCAGGAGTCCTGGCTGGACCAGAGAGTCATGACCTTGCCAGTTGGAATAGCTTGTCCACTGGAGTCATGTTCCCCTGTGGCCTGCTGGGAGAAAGGACATAGTGGAGGTGGGGGTGTTCACCCCGCAGAGGAAGCTGAAGTCGGGACTCTTCCTTCCTGACTGCTCTGTTGAGCAAGGGGCTGTCTTTACCTGAAGCCTCTGCTAACCCATCCTCCCATCGCCTCGGCCTCCACCATCCCCTCCCCCCACCCTCCCGGAACTGCTAATTTTTTTTTTTATCCTCACCCGAGGACATTTTCCCATTTTTTGTTCAGATAGAGTGGGAGGGAGGGAGAGGAAGAGAGAGGGAGAGAGAAACATCGACATGAAAGGGACACATCGAGTGGCTGCCACCCGCGTGACCAACCAAGGCCGGGGACAAACTGCAACCGAGATACGCGCCCTTAGCGGGAACCGAACCTGGGTCTCAAACTGCAACCGAGATACGTGCCCTTAGCGGGAACCGAACCTGGGTCTCAAACTGCAACCGAGATACGCGCCCTTAGCGGGAACCGAACCTGGGTCTCTCTGGACCGCAGGCCGACGCTCTAACCGCTGAGCCAAACCGGCACCGCTGAGCCAAACCGGCACCGCTGAGCCAAACCGGCCAGGGCCGGAACTGCTGTCTAAGCTGAGATCCTCTAGGTGGCCAAAGCCAGATCTAACACACTTCCCACTTATCTTCCCGCCCTGCACTTAGAAGCCAGAACCTGGGAGACCCTCCTCCTTCTGGGAGGTTCTCGCAGCCTCCAGAATGCCAGGGTTTCAGGTCCTGCTGCTACCGCACTCCTGTGCCCAGCTCCGCCGCCTCCTCTACCTGCTCTGAGGAAGCTGGTGACTCCCCATGCTTTGGGTCCGGGCACGTCTCTGACTTCTCCATTTTTATTACATAATAATCGATACATACGAAAGTGTGTCTGTACCACAGATGTGAGTTACAAAGCCTCACAGTAAAATGAACCCCATAACCCCCACCCACCCAGTTTGAGAAACGACACACCCTGATGAGTGCCCCTCCCTCGCTGCCACAGGCCTGTCCCCTGTTGCACCCTGCCTCCCCCCAGAAGCCCTCATTTGTCAGATGTCATCCACCCACCTTTTGGGAGGGGGGTATTCATTTCTTATTTTTGTTTGTTTGGGTTTTTTTGGACTCAGATTTTTAATCGTTTCCATCACATTGGTATACATCCGTAAATGATATTTAGTTTTACTCACTTTTGTGCTTTATAAAACGGAATCATACCATGTGTCATGTTCTGTGGACTTGCTTTTCTCACTCAACATTATTTCCAAGAACCATCCATAGGGGTGCAGACAGTTACGCTTCATCTGATTTTGCTGGGGCACAATATTCCATTGTGGGAGTAGAACACAATTCATTTCCCCTTTTTGTTGTTGTTGTTGTTGTTTAATTTTTTATTTATTAATTTGTTTTTGTTACAGATGTTTCCATTTTTTCCCCCATTGACACCCTCCTCTCCTTCCCCGTCTCACCCCATCCCTAGCTTTGTTGTCTATGTTCATTGGCCATGCATACATGCATGTAAGTTCTGTGGTTTATCTCTTCTCTCTCCAACCCCCCTCCTCTGAGGCTTGTCAGTCTGTACCCCACCTCTATGTCCCTGGGTTAATTTTGTTCAGCAGTTTGTTTCGTTCACTATATTCCACAAATAAGTGAGACCATGTGATATTTGTCTTTCTCTGCTTGGCTTGTTTCACTTAGCATAATACTCTCCAGGTCCTTCCAAGCCATCTCAAAGCATAAGAGATACTTCTTTTTTACAGCTGCATAGTACTCCATTGTGTATATGTACCACTGCTTTTTAATCCACTCATCTACTGATGGACACGTGGGTTGTTTCCAGATCTTAGCTATTATAAATAGTGCTGTTACAAACATGGGGGTACATATATTCTTTCTGATTGGTGTTTCAGGTTTCTTAGGGTATATTCCTAGAAGTGGGATCACTGGGTCAAATGGCAGTTCAATTTTTAATTTTTTGAGGTAACACCATAGTGTTGTCCACAGTGGCTGCACCAGTCTGCATTCCCACCAGCAGTGTACTAGAGTCCCCTTTTCTCCACACCCTCGTCAACACTTGTTGTTTGATGATTTGTTGATGGCAGCCATTCTGGCAGGTGTGAGGTGATGCCTCATAGTTGTTTTAATTTGCATCTCTCTGATGCTTAGTGATGTTGAGCATTTCTTCCTATGTCTCTTGGCCATTTGTATGTCCTGTTTGGAGAGGTGTCTATTTAGGTCCTCTGTCCATTTTTTAATTGGGTTCTTTGTCTTCCTTTTGTTGAGTTTTTTGTTGTTTTTTAATCCTCACCCAAGGATACGTTTTCTCAAATATCTTCAGATAGAGTAGGAAGGGGAAAAGAGAGAGAGAGAAACATCTATCAGCTGCCTCCTGCACGCCCCCTACTGGGAGATCAAGCCTGCAACCCAGGCATGTGCCCTGACTGGGAATCAAACCAGGACCTCTCAGTCCATGGGACTATGCTCAATCCACTGAGCCACACCTGCCAGGCTAGTTAGGTATACTTTTTTGTTTTGTTTTAAATCCTCACCTGAGGGTATTTATCCATTGATTTTCAGATAGAGTGGGAGGGAGGGAGGGAAAGACAGAGAGAAACACCAAAGTGAAAGAGACACATTGATTGGTTGCCTCCGGCACTACCTGGACCGGAGCCGGGGACAAACTGCAACTGAGGTACGTGCCCTTGACCGGAATTGAACCCTCGACTCGGACAAACTGCAACTGAGGTACGTGCCCTTGACTGGAATTGAACCCTCGACTCTTTGGTCCTCGGGCTGATGCTCTAATCACTGAGCCAAACCAGCCAGGGCTAATTAGGTATGTTTTAATATCACTCTGTGTGTTTAGGTATTTTAAAAAATTGTGATAAAATGCAATAACATAGAAGTTACTATGGTAACCATTTTTAGTTGCACAGTTTAGAAGCAGGAAGAACCTTCACATTGTTGTACAACCATTGCCATCATGTGTTTAGGTACTTCTCAAATATAAAGTTTCTTGCCCTGGCCGGTTTGACTCAGTGGTTAGAGCGTCCGCTAAGGGCACGTACCTTGGTTGTAGTTTTTCCCAACCTGGTTGGGTTGTGTGGGTGGCGATCACTCGATGTGTCTCTCTTATGTCGATGTTTCTCTGTCTCTCTCTCCCTCCCACTCTACTGAACAAAAAATGTCCTTGGGTGAGGATAATAAATAAATAAATAAATAAAATAAAGTTTCTTGTAAAGTTTTTTAATGTTTTTTATTAGATTGTTTTTCCTTTGGTATTTTCTGTTTTTAAAAACTTTTTTGTGCTCTACCAGTGTGGCTCAGTGGTTGAGCATCAACCCATGCACCAAGAGGTCGCCGGTTCAGTTCCCGATCAGGGCACATGCCCAGGTTGTGGGCCCAATCCCCAGTGGGGGGCATGCAGGAGGCGGCCAATCCATGTTCTCTCTCATTGATGTTTCTAGCTCTCTCCCCCCTCCTTTCTCTTTCTCTAAAATTTAATAAAGAAAAAAACTTTTTTAAAAAAACTTTTTTGTGAGAGCTAATACACATAGGAAATAACATAAAACATAAGCGCAGCTCACTGTATAATTTTTAAAAAACTTTTTCTTTATTGATTTTTAGAGAAAGAGGAAAGGAGAGAGGGAGAGATAGAAACATCAATGAGAGAGAAAATCAATTGGCCACCTCCTGCACACCTCCCACTGGGGATCGGGTCCACAACCCATCCATGTGCCCTGACCGGGAATCGAACTGGTGACCTCCTGGTGCATGGGTGGATGCTCAACCACTGAGCCACACCGGCCAGGTTCACTGTATAGTTATAAAGGAAACACCCATGGGCCCACCACCCAGGTCAGAAAAAGCATGTTTCCAGGGGCCCATTTGCCACAAGTCCTTCCCAATCTAACCCTCCAAATAACACTCTGACTTCTGTAATAATCCCTCCCTTTGCTTTTCTTTAGAGTTTTGCTATTTGAGTGCATGTTCCCCAACACCCTAGTTTAGTTTCGCCTGTTTCTGCACTTTATATCAACAGAATAGCACACTTCAAATTATTTTATATTCGGCTTTTTCCATTAGGTTTGTGAGTCATCCCCCTTATTGTGCATAGCTGCGATTTATTTATTTTAATATTGTATAATATTACACTTATGAAATAAATGATAGATAAAGACTGCTATATAGTGATTGATTATGTTAATGGACATTTGAAGGCTTCCCAATTTGTAATGTGAAAAATAGCGCTGCTGTGAATATTCATGTACATGTCTCCTAGTGTTTCTCTGGTGCACATCAAGTATCCATCCAGCCGTCTGTCTCTCCCTGTGCAAAAGCCATGCTAT